TCTTCCCCCTCCCCCCCAGCCGCTCGGGTATTGGCATGAAAAGCTCCAAGTCAGTTTTACTTTCTTCACCCCATCCTGTGGGTTCCTATTCGGTGCTCGGCAGGATTGCCATGCCTTGCGCCCTGGAGATAGCAGTATTTACGCACAGGCGGCTGGTTGCAGCAGAGGCGGGCAGCGGGAGCTTTGCTAAAATATCTAAGAAAAGGAAGCCGGGAGGGAGCGATGTGGTGAAGGGAGATGAAGGTAAAGTGAAAGCAACGGAAAAGAATCGGGGTTGTAAATACTGTAGTGAGAAAGGGTGTGATTGGCGACTAGCTAAATAAGCAGGAGCGCTCCACGTTGTGTCGTTTTATTGCTGGCTTCACGTGGCGACAGATTTCTTTTGCCCTCAGTTCAAGCCTTCTGAGCCTGTAGTTAAAACCATTTCTTGTGGCAGTGAGTTCCAGAGGTTGCCACTAGGTAATAAACCTTACTTTGCTGTTCTGTTACCAGTGAAGGTTCGGGGTGGCTCTTTGCATTCTGAGAAAGGGAAATAGTTTAGTATCTCCTGTCGCTCTGCACCATTTGCTATTTTTTGTAAACTTCCAAAACTTCATTACGTTTGATAAACTTTGCCCACCCCGCAAGTCATTTTTCTTTTGAACTAAAAAGTACCGCATGCCTTTTTTCATTTTCTTTTTAGGGCTGTACTTCAGTTCCTGGATCATTCATTCTGATCCTGCTTTCTGTAGGTTTTCCCTCCTGAGATACCCTTTGAAATAGGGTGACACAAACATCCAGACAGTAACTGAGAGCCAGTGTAATGTAGGGATTAAGGTGTTGGCCGTGTGTCCGGGAGATCTGGTCAAAGTCCCTATTTGATCATGGAGTTGAGCTCACTGGAATACTTTGGCCCAGTCATTTTCTCTTGCAGAGTTCTTGTGGGGATAAAACAAGATTCCAGAGAAGAGGCAGGATATAAATGAAGTAAATAAATAATCACAGGTCATCCTCATCATCTACTAACAGTCATCAGCGAATTGACTTTTTATCCCAAGTCCTTTCCTGGTATTTATTTTTATTTTATATTGTATTTCATTATTTTATTGATTTGTAAAGCCACTCATCTCAACAAGGAACTCTGCGCGGTCACTAATTTTCAACATGCAAGCAGCTCTTAAAGGCTATGGAAATGAGTGGGGGGGAGAATGCAAGCTTATCGTAGCTACATTCCTGCCCCACCTTCTTTCCAATTTCTTCTCTTCCCCTCCCTTTTTTCTTTGTGGTGAGACATCATTGTTAGCTGGGCTGGGCAACATGTAGCACTGGATAGGGCATTACACTTATCTGAATTTGGCATGGACATGAATACAAGTCGGGGACTTCTGTTATTTTGTTTGCTGGAGTAGAATAATCCAGAGAAAAATTGGAATGCAGTGTCCCATGTTGGAAGACTAGTTGCAGGAAAGTTATTTGTACTATTTTGAGAGTAAAAGCTAGGATACGCAGGACTGATCTGGAGCTTTGCAGCTAAGTTAGAAACATGGTGGTTTTATGCAAATTCCAGCTTTCAGTTTACACTTCTCGGGCACAGGCACATGGATAGATATAGGATTAACTGCATCTTGATCACTAAAACACAGCTGCTCTGTTCCCATAACTTGCTATGTCCAAACGAATAAGAACTTATTTTTATTGGCTTACTAAGCTGCTAAGACATTGGCTGGGTTTGCATAACACTTTAGCCTAATCTAGCATCTTGTGCAAACCCAGGATGTTGAAAGCAAACTTAGATGCCTTCTGACATAACAATGGGCACTTTTTCTTCTGTGGGGGCCACAGTTGCCAGAGACTGGAGCTGAAGTGAGCAATGAAGAGGGATATCCACCTGCTTTCTGACACCATCTTTTTATCTTTGTGACACTCTGTGCATCCTCTCCAGGGGTGTCCACAAGGTATGGCTCAAAAAGTTAAGGTGGTAGCCACAAAGTGCAGTTAATGTTCCACCAAAGAGGTAGAGCTTCAATTACACCATTGTGGCTGCCATTTTGCCTTTTTTGACCTAACCCCATGGACACTTCCAAGCAGCAAGCTGCAACCAAGAGATGGATAGCTTGTACAGAGGTCTAAACTGATCTCTTTCGCAGGAGGTTCAAAACTGAGCTAAGGGGTTCCAGTGCTTAATAGGTAGACTGGCACATGGACTGTATGTAAACTAGAGTGTTTTTCATGTACATCTTTAGCAACACCTATGTGCACTTGATGCATGTGTGAATAAGACTCAGAGCCTCACCAACCTGAATTCTACTCCCCCCCACTTCCACATACCTGTTAATTGTTTTTGGTTGCCCACTCTTAGGGAAACTGGGGCTAGCCAAAGGGAATTACAGAGACAAGCCAAACGCATCTAGGTGGCTGTTTTTATGTCAATAAATCTACTCTCTGCCTGGGTAGAAAAGAGCAGACATAAATACCACCCTAAAATGTAAATCTGTAATTTTCAGACAATACCAATAAATAGCAAAAGGTGGACAATAGCAAAGATAGATTAAAAAAAGTTTTAAAAAGCAATACAGGTAGTCCTTGTTTAGCGACTGCCTCGTTCAGTGACTTTGCAGTTACAACCATGATGAAAAAGTAACTTTACAACCACTCCTCGCATTTATGACCTTTGCAGGTCTGTAAAGCAAAGGAAAGCTGAAGTAAGATCATAAGCACACTTGTGGTTTCACTTAGCGACTGTTTCACTTAATGACTGAGTAGCTTGGCCCAAATGTAGTTGCTAAACAAGGACTACCTGTAGTAGGTAAAATTCATATTCAACTCCTGGTAACTGGTTTGGCATAGCCATGCTGTTTTCTTGGCAGCAGAACAGAGGTGGTTTGCCCTTATCTTCTAGTTAAGTTTTCTGATTCCCAGTCTAGTCTTCAGGTTTGGGATTACCTAGTGCTCTCCCAACCAAATATTAATTAAGTCCAACCAACTTGGTTTTTTTGAGATCACCCAAGATGCTGCCACCAGCTCAGTAGGAAAAGGTTAGAATTATCCCAACATACTGTATTAAAGATTGAGCAAGTTTTTGTTCAGGCTTTGTGTGGATGGAAACGTACAGTAAACCACCCCAATGGGGTGAAATCTTGTACCACTTAATTGTTGGATTTTCAGCTATGGAGGAAACCATTTGTTCTAACTGCTAGATTGAATTAACCCAAGTATTTTTGGCTGAGCGATTAAGTAGGATTTGAGAGTTCTAGATCTCAATCTGCCTATAAAGAGATAGTTGGGAGAGTCACTATTCATTGGTCTACGTTTCCAGAAAAGATTAACCATATAGGCTACTCTGATCTCTCTGAAAGCCACATGGCCTATACATACAGTGACCATATGTCCTTTGTTAAAAAGGACAGTCCTTTATTTCAGAAATCTGTCCTTTAGATTAATTTAATTTAATTATTTATTTTCTGGGTTTTGCTCTTGACTTTTCCTTTGTAAAGCAAAGTTATAAACGATTAGATTTTTTTTTTAATCCTAATGATCCTCTTTCAGATTTGTCCCTTTCTCAGGTTTGTCCTTTATATTTTCCAAGAAAACATGGTCACTGTACCTAGACATGAATAAATAATAAGGCAGCATTGAAAATTAATGTCCATTGTGCTAATATAAGAACTACCTGGTGTTCTTGTTTTCTGATTCCTGATCTCAAGTCCAAATAACTGCTGCTTTTAAATCATTTTAAGAGCAGAGGCATAACTAGTTTTTCTGGTCAATGGCAGGTTGAATGATCACTGGGGGCGGGAGAGGTAGGATTTAAGAG